ATAAGGTAGCCTACACAAATATCAATAGTGTGATGGCAAATCATGAATGAAATGAGACATACTGGATCTTGAAGTATATCATACCTACATGCATATTGTACTAAGCATAAGAGCAAGTGTGGTCTCAAATCCTGAAAAGGGGTATAATTCGGGTACTTTGTTAGTGTAACGTTATCCAAGCGCTTTTCATAACCACGCCAAAGCCTTTATCATTGGAACAAGTACCTAAAAAACTACTTGGAAGGAAATACTGAAATATTTAAGGTCTTGTTAGGTAACAGATTAACTTAGAGTTAATCTCGTTCAGGAGAGATAATCCTCTCGGGGCCATCGTCACCGTATCTTAATGCGGCCTTCTTTATAACTGGATCTGGCATTGGTTTTTAGAGAACCGTAGCTAAAGCAGCTTAGCCTATTGCTATCTGTATTTTCTTATATTTGAAGGGTATTTGCATTGATTTAGATCCAATGAAATCCGCACATTAAACTATGATGGGAAAGGCTATGAGCTATCTACGGTAATCAAGTCTGAATAAACCCAACTGTATCTTATTTCCGACTCGCTTCTTACAACACCTTAGATCTACACCTTCGGCGGGCCAATGGTAAACTTGAATAACGTTACGTTTCTTTGTATCTCGTCTTTTCGCCCTGACCGAATATCTAAAATGGGGGTCACTACCTACCTAGGTAGGTACCTAATATGAGCAAGCCGCGGTAACATTTATTACCCTAACCTGTCTGCCCGCGTGGTCCTGAGCGCTTACGTGCATCGGGATCTGACGCATAGGTATCTCCAAGTATGACAGCCTTGACCAGCGGATGTTATAGAAGCTACCTAAGCTGCCCGTATCCTTATTTGACGCCGTAGGGGCCATGTCTTGGGGGTTTTCAAATGTGGAAGGATGAAGCGCTAATTATTGTTGCCGATTCACACGCCTGTTTTCTGCCTGAGTGGCGACTTGGAAGCCATTTGGAGGTTTAGTCCTTATCTTTGAGCAATAGTACGAAGAGTTATTTTATACCAAATTTACAGTATTACCTACGCAAGCCGTCCCCGTCGTTGGGCTCTGCTGTGGGATGGACCACACAGAGCCTTCCGAATGTTTGGAAGCGGGCGGTTATCATATTGAGTAAGATAGGGCACCGATAATGTATCAGAAGGTCTAAGATCGTACCGCCTCATATGACCAGAAATGTGCACGTTTCCTAAATGGAATACCTTATATCAGCGCGGAGCCGGCCTTGCGAATCCGCGGTCACGTAAGGATCGTACCAGCTATTCAAAAGACTCGGACGATCCCCGGATAGAATTATTTGAAAAGAAGTTATTGGCTCGATCCTTACCGCTTGCTACACGCAGGGAACAGTCCAATCTGGATCTCGCATGAGAATAGAGCGGCCTAGATTTAACAGCACCGCATTATGTGTGTTATGTTTGGCAATGCTGCAATTCGGTTCGAATTGCGTAGTAATTCCCATGGTATTTTTAAGCGCTACTCGTGGTGTATTCTGTTCCTGAAACTAGAGCGACGTCAACTCCCATGCTACTTGATTCTTCTCAGCCTTCGGGGATGTTAAGCTTCATCGTGAGATTATGGGGATAGGCTTGGCTCGCCCCCTTTGAGTTTGTTGGGCTACACTACTTCGGTACTGAGACTGTAGAGTAATACAACTTACGTATCACCAGCCTCAGACAAGGCTACGGAGCACAAGAGTCCTTATTGTCCAATTGTTTCTCATGGAGCTGACTCCGGGGTAAGGGAATGGAGATATAGCACAGGGCAGAAGGCGCGGAATCCTCAGTTGCGGATTCAATTAACAAATCAATATCACTAACATCATTCGTGTCCCGGTCTATGGCGCCCGTGCAGTTCAATAGCCAGACCTGTCACTGCAGATCCAGTATGACTAAGGTGGAACATAGGGAGACCGGGCGTGGGGGTTTTTCTCATTCTATGAGGATTCTCTGCGGCCGAAAGGTGAACAACTCCACTTGGGCGGAAGCCAGAAAAAGGAAAAGGGAAAAAGAAATCCACATGGAACCCTGGCTCTCAGAAATTCCTGTCAGCAATATAGATAGATGCGGCTTTTCTTGTCCTTCCTATTATCTCTTGACGGGATAGCCGTCATCGCTTCTGTGATTTGCTGGTGTAGGGAACAATAAGCTTTGGAATATCCAATAGATGTCATCGTCAATCCTGCAGCTCGCAGCCTATCGAAGCTTCATGTGTTCGCAACACACAGCGGGAGCACCCGCTCTTCAGTAATGTAAACCCGGTCTTTGGCCGCCGGATTCCCATTCCGGTATCAGGGGTTGCCAATCCTGGCATGTGCTCTACCAATCTTCATCGGCGCCAGTCGTACGGAACAGGAGATGGGAAAGGACCCTGCCGCTCTAACCGATTAGGTTGCTGTGTGGCTGGTAGTTGACTCATCGTACTATGCCTGGTACGCCGTGTCTGATGATGTTATGATGAGGTTTTAAACGCCTTTGCCTTTCTAAAATGTCGGCTTTTTATCGATTACCTATAAAATCAGCCGGGCCGTGCCGTCACATTCGTATTTCAGCCAAAAATTATGACATATACTGAATGAACGCGCGGTCCGCGGCAAGCCTATATCGAAAAAGAGAAGTCTCTCGGTCGTTTCCGGATGAGAAACGTAAAGAAGAATTAACTATGTCTCGTAGAATTCGGACGGATTGGCCCCGGATGTACATTCAACTCTTTAGCGAGCGAGATGACTTATTACCCCCCGGTGGCCTCTGTGTTTCACTCTGATGAACTGGTTGAAGGAATTATTAGCTAACCGCAGTCACCTTGTGGATTGTAGCCCAACAACCCCTTTTCAGTGCTGACTGCATATTGATTGCATCGGCGTACCGTACTGTAAAGTCCTTGCCACGCAACCGAGGGGTCAAAGTACAAACCCCACGCCATTCATTCTATACATATCTGATCAGGCCGTCTGCCGGGTGCCGGCATACGTTGCGTTGCATTGTCTGGCCCCCTAACGTGCAGCGTTGTTTTATATAGCACAATGTACCTATTCAGACACCGTGTTCCTGTGGTCGCATATGGGCGCTTCGAGCAGCTGAGAAAGGTAGTAAGAGGGGAGATTTGGCCATCAGATGGGCCGCGGTTGTAAGAATAACTCATTTGTCATCTTATAATAGGTAGTTACCTAGACAAACTACCGTGAAAGATCCCTCTATTTATTAAGGTACCTACGTGTGGGGGAAATAGGTAGGAAACGTCCGAGGTCATGATTCCCTTTTCCGTCGTGGGGGTTAGGGGTCATCGAAGCCACTCGTCCATGTGTTCGGGTTCGGGGAATGAGATCTCCCTCTGCATGATTATCTGACCGTGGTAGTCTGGAAAAAAGAACTTACGAAATTGCGAGGGAAGAACTAAATGATCTGATGAGGTTTCCCCCCTCTTCTTCTTCTTCTTGACATAACAGACATAAGCCCTAACTCCTCTTATTGCCAATTTCGGACTTCTCCAGCTTTTTGTCCAATGTCATCACACGACCAACCCGAGAGCCCGGACGTATGATAGCATTGATCCCCTTAGTATCACATAATCCTAAGTCATCATACGGCGGCCGTTTATGCCCGTTTGGAGCCCTCGAAGTGAGCCTGAAACGGCTAGGTAGAGAACTAGATAGAAGAAGGGCAAAATGACCGACCGATGTTGGAGTCCCTTACCTTACCTTACATCTTGCCACTGTCTTCTTTTACGCGATAGCCTCCGTTATCGCAACATACAGACGTAACTATGCTAGCCTCTGACCCCTAAGAAGTCGTCTTATTACTAAACTACGTTGCAACAATGCGAGGCTTGTAAGACGGGAGATCCAGCGAAACAGACCAACAACCAGGACATGGAAGGTTTTGGATGAGCCGAAAAACCAGGTCGCGGAGAGCGGTTGCCGAGGGATCCCTCTTCCACATGGTTGTGCTGGTGGCGTCGGCGGCGTTTATGAGGCCGTCTACTGGTGACATTAGCGAGGTGTCGTTGGCGATGAAAATAGGTATGTAGTACTTTAAGACATTACATACATATCCAAGGCATACATGTAGCGATATAATGCTACCACTCGCTGTATGACATTCGCTAGCTCGGGTAAATATACGTATGGGTTGGTCGGTAGGTCAGGTACGTAGGCATCGTACAAATAATAGCGCGACAAACGCTGACGGGGGATTGTATGGTGCGTATGGTGCGTTATTCTTTGCATTCCGTCTCATACACACCAACCATACCAACCATACTAACCCCCCAAAGTCTCCCCCAAGGGATACCAATTCATAGGACTAGCGCGGCATGGTTCTGCAAGGTCCGAACTGCGGGGTACAGGGTTGAGTGAAAGGCTTGGATGATCTGCAATGTCTGCATTTTATGACAGGACCGACTGGTGATCGACCGAGGATTTACTTGGTACATGATGCAGAAGGGTCTTGTGTTCCTGTGCTCCCTTGCGACTGTCTCGGGTGATGGACGTGTTTCCAATGGATGCGAGCTGCGAAGATCGGTTAGGTAGTACGTGGTATGCGACGTGCCGTCATGATGTGAATCTGGGTTGGGGTAATGTGGCAGCGTGGATCATGCGTGATGCTGTGGCATAGAAGAATTGGTGGCGCTGCTGCCCGTTGGAAATCATGGAGCAGTGGTAGCCCATATCCTAACCATTATAGTCGTCGCCGTCCGAGCCTCGAACGTGCTTCTGTCGTGCAGGATACCTAAGAACTTGGCAGACGAGTCCGCTAGAAACGCTTAAGTTTTGACCTGACCAACCTGCCTATTAGAATTACCGGCAGCTATAGCCTATAGCGTTTCTCGTAGCATACGTAGTGGCGTACCTAGTGGCGTACCTAGTGAAGCTATATCAACGGTATAAGTGAGAGAAAGATGATTACGCACTAAGCGAGATATGGCTGTGAGAGGCTATGAGAAGAACCCTCTTGGATCATATTCATACGGAAGCTATACGTTCTAGCCTTTCGACGATAACTGATAGTAACTCTTTACTCGGATACCCATTTTAAGAGCTTTTTAACACAATCGTCCTATACCAGGGGTCAAGGAACAGCTGGTAAGTTCTTTAGATTCCATAGTTTTTTCGCTATTCCGTCCATGTAACGCCGTTCAATCTCATAAACGCCAAGCGCGTGGCCCACTCCGTAGTGAAAACCCAATTGAGCCCCATGATGCCCAGCAGAACCTAATTCCCCAGATTTTCCTCTAGGCCAAGCTCCGCTCCAGGGCCATTACCTCCTCGAATCCATTTGTAATCATGTTCATATGCTCGCCGCTTGGCAGCCCACATGGCTTCCGTGGTTCCCCGCCGTATCCCTCAAAGTGCTGCAAGGCAGCCTTCACTCCAGCAAACCCGGTCTGGATCGCGATCCAGTCTGCTTTGGCAACGATCGCTTGCAGCCGTCTTGCTTCCTTTAACTCACCTGCGTGAAATAGCTCGCAGATACGAACACAGGCTCGAGGTACCAAGTTGGCAGTTCCAGCAATCGTCCCGTTTCCACCTACGACGAGGCCCTGCAGGATGAAGTCTGCGCTGCCTCCAGCGACGAAGAAGCCGGGTTTGGCCCCGTCCACAACCCTAGCCAACTTCCCTGTGTTTCCGCATGTAAGTTTAACACCGTGGACGTTGGAGTGCTTGGCGATTTGAAGGATTGCGTCGGAGGAGAGGTCTAGACCAGAACAAGCCCCGGGGTAGTTGTAGATCATGACTGGAATCGGACTGGAGTCGGCAACATCGTAGAAATACTGAACAATCTTGGATGTGTTGAGGAGCCCACCGTAATAAGCGGGAGGAAGTAAAATGACATAGTTGGCGCCAGCATTAGCCGCATCACGGCATAGCTGGATTGTCTCACGAGTAGACTGCGCACCACAGCCTGCGATAATTGGCATTAGGTGGTGGTCTGCCTCGTCTAGTGCCGCTCTTGTAGTCTTAATAATGAGGCTACGCTCCTCCCTACTTAAATGAACGGCTTCTCCGTTAGACCCATGTACGACAAGACCTGCAACGCCAGCCTCGGCGAGATGGATAGCGTGGCGCTGGGTTGCTTCTAGGTCTATGTCGTCATTTTCCTTAAAGAAAGCCACGGTAGGAACGTAGACCCCATCGGGCAGAGGCAAAGACTGAACTGGAGATTCCGTCATCGGTTCGATCAGATCTGGTAAAGTGTCTTGTATGGTAGGATTAGGAAGAGATACACGTAAGGTTACGTGAGAGGGAGTAGATGACGAAGTTGACGAAGTTGTAGGGAAAATCACAAAGATTCTAAGATGCTAAGAAAGTAGGAAGCAGCCCAACATACGCGGGAATCGCCTTGATTTATATAATAGAGGGTGGATATGATAAGACGGTTCTTTAAGAGTAAAGAAGAAAGCTTGGGCACTTAGAGTGCAAGGGGGAGGGAGGACTATGGGAGTACATATGAACCCTCCCCGGTAGCAGGGGGAAGTACGATTTAAATACCTTAATATTCGTCTCTTGTTAGCAAAAAGGTGTACGTCTAGGTGTACGGTTAGGTGTTTGCCTCGCTCAAGCCGACGAGACTACCTTGCTACCTTAGTAGGTATAAGGAAAAGGAGGACTAAGCACGGGACTTGACTGGCTAACTATCCGATGCTCTTTTCATCAAGGCAGACCAATGAGGTCGTAGAAGAGTCAAGCAAGACCAAACAGAGCCGCTCAGGATTCTTCAAACACGAGATATTACTGGAAGAGCTGGTCTGACTGGAGAATGACAATGAAGAGGCTACGCCATGCCGTGGAGTGCGTGGGGGTGTCATGTGGTTGCTTAGGTTTTCCCCTGAGCAGGGGAATCAAGTCGAACAAGACAGGTACCTATGAGACTAGAGAAGAAGCATGAGCATGATTGAGTGTACCATCAGGGACTCGTCGGTGGGCATAGACGCAGCTCTGACACGGAGGGCCACTGCATTGGCGTACTGAAGCATACCGTGATGATTGGTTCTTCTTGTATAATTTAGGCAGGAAGACATGAGAAATTGGGATGTAAGACGCAGAAACGTACCTGGGTAGGCTTAACGCTTTAGGATCATCTGTATTCCATGGATAAGGTGTATGTACGTACGGGAAGCATCTATTTTCAGGGTTGCGACCAAATCCAGGTGGTATTGTTGGGTGAGTTGGGTGAAGTACCTAATCCATGTTGGACGAAATGCGGTGAAGCTTTTGTCAATCAAGCAGTCGAGAAAAGAAGAGTCCTGGAATTGAGAATGAGGGGCGCGTCTAGATAGGGTGGGGAAGTTTAAAAGTGGATACATCTTATTCACCGTGGGGGAAGGTGTAATCAAGGCGTCAGGGCTATGGGGTATGTGTGAAGCTGGAAGGAAAGTTCAGGGTCAGGACTGTAAGGTACAGTACCAACGTACTCGGTATCTCAATAGGTACATATTTCCATTGAGGCATCCTGGATCCTTGGAGTTCTAGCGCCTGCGCATACTGCTGTTGTGCTACCTACCTACCTTAGGTACATGTACACTTAGTACTTTATACTTTTGTACTTTTGTACTTGCACTCACCCCCACGTTCCACGTTCCACGTTTATCAAGAACGAACTTAAAACGATGCAAACGCCCTAGCGTTACTCGGCTCCGTTTTTATTCCGGGTTTCGAACCGGGGACGGGGAATAGGTAGTGTAGGATTTGAGAGGGACCTACAGTAGTTAGAACATTCTAAGTTAGACATATATCCATAGTAGTTAAACTTGACCATTCTCGTTGAGCCCACCCCCAACTTATTCCTGGAAAGTTTGGGGACGCGCCCCAGAATCCTGGTTTATATCTTGTATGGCTTCTCCCCGGATCCATTTGAGTGGGTGGACGGGGAGGGGGCGAACACTACCTATGGTCTTGTGTATGTATACCTCGTGCTCTTATACCGCATACCGCATACCAACAACAAACACGACGCCACCACTCCTTCCAAAAACTATCAAGCGAGACACACGTATAAACTGCATAACACGCACGCTAAGACCCCAAGTTTAGTAGCCTAGTGTAAAGACCGCTCTCGTGCGGGACATCCGGTACATCTATCGGCTCCAGAGAGAAGGCAAGGGATATGTATCGGAAGAATCTGACCTCGTCGTCGGTGTTCCACTACCCTGGTTCCCCATACCCGGGGATTCGATTTGGTAAAGCCGAGTAGCCCGGCCTAGATCCTCATAAGGCTCGCTAAGAGCTTCCTCTCGATGCGTATCCCACCGAGTAAGAGGCCACGGGGCTGCGAGAAAATCCGGCAGTCTGGCTCATTTTGGGGGTACAAGCCTGTGTCGCTCAATATCGATGATCTATTCGTTGATATTCGTTCTTGCATCTGTCAACGACCTTTTCTGACACCGAAGTCTCGTATCATTCACACTGACGTTGACAAGTCAAAGTTGACTGCATTGAGGCTGCATTAAAATTACTATATGGTGATGGTTCTCTGCAGGGAAAGGACCGGCCATTGTTACCCTTTCTTTAGCATCGCAAGTTACGACGAAATAGGACAAAACTCCAGAAACGAGACTCACGTGCGATTGAGAAGGCTCTACGTGGGGGGTCAGAAGCTAGTGTCGGTACGATCGACACAGGGGGTAAGGTGGCTTATTCCCGGGAGCCTTCCCCTCGGGAGGGAATGATCATTGGTTCGGTCTTCTTGTACCTAACATATCATGTTTCTTTAGGTACTGCGTGAAGTACTCCCTTCCTATTATTCAATTGCAACTATCCGATATCATCTTAGTTTTACCTACCTAATAGATAGAATAGTTCATCAATTTTGTAGCGGAATAGCACGGTGAGAGCTGAGTTATCACAAGTGGGACCAGAAGGAATATATCCTAAAGATGGACACTAGGCGAGTAAGTGGATCGTACATATATGATTGTTAGTCTTTAAATCAACATCAGTTCCATATCTTATTACAAGTTAGCTTAGGTAAATTCACTCCGGTCCCGGTGCGCGCCGGTGGAGGTTTTAGGGTAATCCGGAAGTACCGGAAACAGCCCGGTACGTACGGCGTCACGGGCTAGTAACCACCATTAGTAGTCATAAGAACAATTGTCTGCTTATGTACGAAATCCCACAATATCACACGACATAATCAAGTATCTACGTTAGGTAAAGTTATACCGCAACAAACAATGCTGTAGTAAGCGGATAAAAACCGTGGTTTTTTGTTGATATGAAGGTAGGAATGTCGTAAATCAGAAGCTATCAAAATACCAGCAGGCATAAAAATCGACAAATATCATAAAATGATGAACGTTGTAGCCTAGGTAGTAACAACCATTACAAAATAAAGGTAACCGTTGCACCCCCCAAAAGGTAAGCAATGAAAATCATCAGAGTTAGCTACCTGTCTTCCTCAAATATTAGCGTCATAATTCCTCATAAATACTATATGAGGCGATAACCAATCACAATTTGACTGAATGTGTTGAGCAAACTTGGATTAGTTAGACACACTATCCTTATTCTTGACATACATACCTAATGCTTGCAGGGGACCAAATGAGGCCTCCTAGCGGCTAAGGCGATACTACAACGGGCTGCAACGTCTTACGCTCACCGGTTTCCTTATATGTACATAGTGATGCTGGTGGAAGTCATGAGACCTGTTAATCGACCTGGGGGAGTTCGTTGGCATACTTCGTGTCCTGGTAGTTAGTGGATAGGGATACGTTGCTTTCCCGCGCTCCTTTCCATGATCTACGTATGGTTACAGCGGTCTATTTTCTCCACTTAATTAACATCCAGCCCTACTGGTGTTACGGTAGGTTCTTTTGGTGCTATGTGACTAACGGCTTTCACCACGAAGCGAGGAGTCGCCAATACCTTGGGTCGATAATTATATTTGGGCTTATTTCTTATGCGTGCTTTTCCGATCTTTTCTATGATCTATTAGCTCTAAAAGCTTATGTCTACCTAATCAGTTTCATATAGATCACATTTTTTGGGTGATATGGCAATTATTATTTCAGTGACATAACTTGCAGTTTCACGTATTGGAATATTGGTATGTTCCAAGTAAATGCCTAGGTTAGGTACAAATAGTAATTATATAATTCAAGTTGTGCGTTAGCTAAGGGAATATATTTAGATATGAATGAAGGCTGTATGTCCCTGCGGCCTGGGAAATAAGCGATAGCGATGAGAGGCTGCTCTCGTCTAAGTAATCCATTACCAGGTACTTTATTTTTTACTCTACTGTAGAGTTGGACGCGTGGATTCTTAGGGATATACCTAATCCATATAAATTTAAGTCATCTAAAGAGGTAGTGCCCTATCACAAGCAGATTATATCTTCACCGATTAGCGTACCCCTGGAGAGCTATGGGGTTTCAATCCGTTATCTGACTTTCAACCCTCAACTTCTACCTGTGACGAGTGGATAAATTCCCGTGTCGTATATAGCCATAACCCAATCTAATGTACGTACCCCAAAGCTTCTAAAGAACATCTAAGGATATGGAAATGTAGGCTCTCGTTGACGTATATTCGACTCACGAATGTGAGGCGTTGCTACGATAATAGGTAGGTACTTAGATGTGGCATGTTTCTTTAGTGTTGATACTCAGTGTAGTCCGCGGATTAAATTACTCACGTGTGAGAGGATGCCTAAACTCTACGTGTAGCATAAACTGAGATAGTAGGTAACCTTAAGCCTACGAAGGCTTCCTCGTCACTGGACGAGGATAGTGCAACCTAGATAAATAATGTGCTCTCTCCTTTCTCGTTATCCGCCTGGTGAGTATATAGTACATGTCTAGAGTCATACTGACTTATGTCCCCGCCAGTCCAAGAGGAAGGTTTGAATCATAGCAAGTATTTGTCAGTAGTAGTTTGTTATATAAGTTGCTATTATAATTAGGTTGATGAAAATTGACGCCTCAGAGAAGGGTGGAAGCCCGTCATCAACCTCATTGCTATAGTTTTTGTTTGGTCAGCAAACCCCTTCTAATAGAAGGACCCAATTTCCAGCGGATGATTACATATATATATATATATATCTAAGTTAGAACCCCAGGCTGGAAGTAGCTGTACCTTATTATACGATCTAGGTACCTTACAAAGACTTTTTCATGGCGCTCGGGCCACTACATGATGTGGGTGACAATTACAATATGAGAAGGTTCGGACTGCTGTTGATGCTATATAAGGTACCTAGAATAGGTACTTTGGAACTGCCGTACACTCTGTATATGTAGCTTTCGCTTATATATAATGTAAACCACGGAAGTCGCGAAACTGAACATAGGTTAACACATAAGGTACCTATATTTCCATACCTGGAAGTACAACACCACCTCCTATCCACTTCTATGTCCGTGATTTCGCTCCTACCTCTTCTACCAACTGCTTCCCAACCGTGCGAAAACATTAGTCTAGTAACCCCGCACCTGTCTTGAGTTGTGCTTGCCTGACTAAGTGAAATGTAAATATTTCGCACAAGGTGTGCCGCGTCGCGTCGCGATTCCTTCTCTTCCACTGCAGTCACTCCTTTCGTTCCTGCTTGATTCGCAACTTCTACCATTCATAGAGCCAATACCTTTCTTTCTAACTCTCCCAGATCTTTATCTAGGTCCTTTTTACCTTACCCTCACATAATTATTCCTTCGCCTGTTCTACAATTACATAGTATCACCTTAGAACAACAACATTCTTCTTCTAGATCTTCTATACCTTGTAACTAGCCTTTACAAGCTTACAATGGATCTAGGAACTTCTTATGGTCGTGTGGGTCGAGAACACCACGATACTAAGACTGGGAGTGGTGATTCAGGTACGGACCATGAGTATAGATGTCTATTCCCACCAGACGACTGTCCTCGTGATAGCTGCCCAATCCATGGAGAACCCTCCGAGGCGCAAAAATCGATTAGGATGGCTAGACAAGTTAGTCGTTACGACCCGACTAACCCCCGAGAGCTATGTGAGCCAGGAAGTTTCCACCTGCGTTTACGCCGAAAGAAGCTCATTTCACTTCTACAAAAAGGGTCTGCTGAAGAGACACAGGAAGCCACCTATGCTGCTGATTTCACAAGCCCTCAGACACACAGGATGGACGGGACCAATACCGAGACGGTTCTGCCGGCAACTATTGGTGGAAGTGACGACTCTGAACCTTGGTATACACCTGAATTCTTATCGAATTCTTCGGGGTGCCCTCAAGACACTGAAGAGATTGAACTTCCATGCAGGGACCTTTGGAAACCGGCGAAGCAATACGTACTTGGATCAAGTAATGGGAGCCGGAAGACAAGCATTCCCGACAATAATGATTATGTCGACCGAGTCTTTGCCAACGAGGCTAAGCGTCTCGAGGCAATACGTTCCCACAGTACAAATAACTCACAATCCCAAGGCAGCATGCCTCTCATGTTCCAATATGGCATCCGCTATGCTCCAGACCCATACCCGGCACCTGCCCCAGTATCACGAACCATCATGATCACCGGATTTCCCCCAGCTACACCTCTTAGCGATATCATGGCGCGAATCCGTGGAGGACAAGTACTTTCCGTCACAGCAGCTATGAGTCCTGATCCCGTCGGACCAACTGTGATCGTTGAGTTCAAAGAAACCTTCGCAGCTTGGGCGTACGTCCACTATGTAGAAAGGGAGATGCCGTTTGCATTTTCTGGCGGCTTCAAGGTCACATTGGTAAGCTCGCATAGCTATCCTAAGAAACCTGAATTGCAGCGTGACCTGTCCAATGGATTTACGCGGCTGGTGGTGTTTCTTAATTTCGCAGTGGATCGCTCCTTTGAATTCCTTGATGACCTTGAGGATATGCTTGGAAACCCGGAGGATATCCTGGAAGATTCGTGGATCCAAAAGGGGGCTTTGTTCATCCTCTTCAAGAGTGTGGCCACGGCCAGTAAATATTACAAGACGGTTGTATGCAACCAGGAAACACTCGAGCCGGGCTCTTTCGACAGCGACCTACATCGATTTGCCCCGGATCCCTGCAACAGACCGCTGTGCGACTTGCGACGACCTTTCCGACCGGCAAGGTACCCATATGAAAGCTTGCTGGATCAATGGGCAGAAAGAAACTTCCAGGCAGCTACCTCTACCGTCCATAGCGATAGTGCCTATCAGCCACATGCACCTACTCACGACTATGAAGAGTATGAGGACGAGGGGGTTTTGAGTCAAGCCGAGGAGAAGCAAGAGATGACTCAGCCTGTTGTGAATCTACTTGACTCCCCTATCCACGAAATCAGCCGCGAGAAATTCCCTGTCATAACGGAATCTCCGACAGAAGCGCCCCAGGAACAATACCCGCTTATAGACCTCTCCATAGACGAAGATAAAGACGAGAAAATGATACCGAAACATACGCTGCCGCAAACCGACCTAGCCTACCACGAATTGCTGCACCGTGACAGCTCCGATCTCGTCAGCCTGTCTGAGGCCAATGCCATCTATCACACTCAGCCCTTCCGAACTATTCCCAAGGCAGAATGGCGTGCTCGATATTCCGGAATATTTCAGTCTTAGACTAAAAGGATTATTAGATGGGTGCGGCATCAAGTTTTCGAGCAAGAAGGCGTACAGGTATCAGAAGTGGAGTTGGGATGCTTAGCAAGAGTCGCATTCACGACTTATGGGTACACTGCTCTCTCCGTCTTTAGATGAACGGTGATATGTCGTCGTTACAATTCCCTTTACTTCTCTAAAGATATTTCACTGACCCTACGGTTTGGGTTTATTGCGGGATACATCACTCCCACGGGATAGCTGGCCCGAACTTGTCCTGCTAACTCCTGCGGGATGGATGCTTATGCAGAGTTTCTGGAAGCCTTCCTATCTGCTTGCATGATTTTCTTTTGATTTCTAAGTAGGAGGCGTTTGCATCATCCTTCAACACCAAGGCGACTTTGCATTAACCTCCATCATAGCATTGCGTTGTCTTTCGTCACGACTCTTTCACTGCATTACCGGAACGGATTTCACGCGGCATGGTTTCCTTTCTACGGGTCGATTTTTCCTTATTTCATTGTTTCAGGCGCGATCTCCGGTTCACAGGTGGTGGTCTATTAAAGGGGAAGGAAAAACGGAAGAGAAATGGATGGACAGGCAAAAGAGAAAAGGGGGGAGGATTTGCTATCAGAAAGACTAGCATCTGCTCATCTGCGTATACTTGGTGCTAGCACATACATGGAACACCTACACAAAACATCCCAAGGTCCATATCCAGGATGGATAGATGTGGAGGATGCTATCTGAATGATATAAAGGCTCCAAGATACTAAAGCTGCTTAGGATGCTCTTATGTAATAGAATTTCTTTACCTTCCCACTTCTTCGCTTTTTGTGTGAATTGCTAGGCATGACTTCGTATATCATCATAAACGAGAAACGACAGGTAAGACGCTATGGTTTTATGATAATTTACTGGTATTAATGTGGCGGTATGCTTTGATCTACCTATTAGCATAACTACTCGAATTTGAGCCATCCACTGGAAAATATAAAATATATAGACACCTAACTTCGGTGTCTTGGGTATCTGGACGTACATATGCAAGGTGTAGCTTAGGCTAGGTACGTACACACGTAGGTGAGAAACAGCGCTCATACTTTTGTAAGCCCACCAGCTCTCTCTAGCCCCCTGCACCTATCACCTCCTTCACTGTTAAGTAGATAGCCACATCAATTATTAAAAGATTGAAAAGGTAGAAGCCGTACTCCAACCCTGGCCGGGGTCAGTGTAAACTTCCGCTTTCATCACTGAGACGAATAGCTGCGGCGAGATCTCTCATAAAGGCCGCACCTAACTCCTCGGGCTTTGGTCTTAGCCTAGGATCCCGCCTGCTGGGGCTCGCCTCCTGCTCTGCTGCCACGACGAGCATTTCTTCTTCTTCCCCATCATCTTCGTCAGCGTTATCGTAGTCGCCTCCCGGGCTGGTATACGATTCATCGCTCTGGGCCGCGCTAGCCCCTACCTCTCCTAGATCCTCCCCTTCTCCCGCAAACGCTTCCGCCACGCTCGAATACTTTCTCTTGAGAGTTGGGTGGCGGAATGATGGCGTGTTGCTAGGGGCGTTATTGCTATTCCTCCTTTTCGGGGACGCTGGTGTGCGGCGGGCGGCTTTCTTTTTCAGATACAGTTTTACGAGCGCAGGCGTTATATTCTCTTCGGGCTCCCAAGTTGGGTTTTGATCCGGTGGCCAATCACCCTCCCAGCGCACCTTAAAGTACCGCACGTGTTTACCATCGACATTTATCATCTTGTCACCTTCTAGTCGCTCTACCACCCATACTTGAGGTTGTTCCTCCAGCTTTTGGGGCGTAGGCTTTGGTTTAGGTGGCTTCTTCTTCGAGTGTACGGATTCTTTACGGGTTGTACTGCTGTTTTTCTCATTGAGCAGAGATGCCTGGGAAGGTATATCACTTGGCGAATGGGATTGTGCCGACGGCCACTTGCCAGAACTTCGTCCTGCGGGTGTAAAGCCGCGATACTCCGGCGAAGCTGTTGCAGGCTGTGGGAGGGGAGCTTGAGTAGAACCATCTCTCTTATTCGTTGAGCGTGGCCATGAAGGGACTGGGACTGGGACTGGAGTAACAACATGTTTGGTATCAGGTTTCAGTTTCGGTTGCGGTACTTCTTTGTTCGACCTCAGCGGTGTGGGAACCGGAACTGGCGTCGTAGAGTACTTTGCGCCGGATAATTGCGACGGAGTCATGCTTTTGTTTAGACTAAATGGTGGTTGAGGGATCGGGACGGGTGTTACGCGGGGATGGTTATCGGTTCGTGTGGGCGAAGATTGCGGTGGGAGCTGTCTATTGGATCGGGGCACTTCGGGTACGGGGACATAGCTCGTCGATGGCTTTAGTGTAAGACTACCATTAGTGCGTTTGAACAACGTCGAATCCTTCAGCCAGAGTGTTCTAGCATACGATCTGAACTCGGAACCCAACGACACGGTTTCGGGGATATTATCTAGCGGTATATCTCCATCCTCCTTATCGCCTTCCATGTCCATGTCCTCGAATGAGCCATCATTGTACCCACATAATTGTTTGTATATTGCATCCTCCTGATCCACCTCGTCGATATCCTCCTCTATATCGGTTGCAATCTCTCCGGCGGGCCTTTTTTTCGGTGTAGAGAGGGACGGTCCGGATGTACTGGCTGTGGGAAGCGCTACCTCAATATTCTGCGAAGTGTTAAGACTTGCTTGCTGTGCCAGCTGACGCGACTGGAGATCGGCTTTGCTTGGTCGACCACGTCTTTTCTGACTAGGTGCGTTCAGAGTCCTCGGTGCTGTTGAAGTAGAAGTCATTATTTTATTCTTTGCTGCTATTTCAATCTTTCTCCTCGTTTCTGCTTCAAGTCTTTCTTCCTCCTCGTCTCTTTCAAGTAGTGCTTTATATTCGAAGTCTTCCACAGCCCGAGGTGAGACGTAGTCGTATATCTGGGTCGCGAGGATAGAGACGCGGGCAGCAGGTAGATCTGGCCATCCCACTACGTAGTACATGTGAAGCTTCAGCTCACCATTTGGGGCGGTGCCTGGAAGAACGCGCTTGTCAACTATAAACGCGTCCGTATCGTGTTCGGGCTGGATTCTGAGAGGCGCTAATGGTGGACCGTCGCCAGGCCTGTAGGGTGGGGGCTTCGAGGGTAAGGGTATCTCGACCTGCGAAATTCTTATTTGTTCACAATCCATAAGTGCGATTTGGATGTTGTTCCGCTGGGGAACAGCTCCAATGGCTACCAGTTCTGGTGGTGATGGGGATTGATGGATCGTGTGCTTTGTCCAGGGTAGCTGTGCTAACAGGTTAGTATTACAGAAAATGTCTTGGCATAACTGGCGTGGGTCTTGCGAGTCAAATTCATGCAAGTTTACATGAACAAATGTAGTTATTATAACTTTCTTAAGAGTTTATTACCAATGCTGTATAGTGATATTGTGTAGTTGTACCTTTTGTTTTAATTAATATTATTGAAGGGCAAACACATTTGGTTTAAGTTAGGTTAGGCACTTTCTTAGATATGTGATTTTATTGTAACTTCAATTCCAATAAAGAAATGAATGTTCACAATGGTTACCTAAGGTAGCAGCTGCCCGTGGGGTCTGTAGGTACATAGTAAATACCTAGATACCTATGTACATATTCCTTACCTAAACTGTGTATAAACTAAATTACATAATTAGTCCTTTACCGCCTTCTATTTCCGTTGTCGCTCTTTCCCTTCCTCTTTCTGCCCATTTGTGTCATTTTTGTGACTCAGTTGCCCCTCCCCCTCCATGTCAAAAATATAGTTGCTCTAACGCTAACCAAGTAACGAAGAGCCTTTCCTTTTAACACATACTCAATTCATCATACAGACTATTAGCTACAAGAGTCTGCGACAAGGATTGCGATCATGGGTGACTCAAATCCAAAGCCCTCGTTGCTTCCCGAGTCGGGAAAGCAGAACATTTTGATCACCAGTGCCCTGCCGTATGCCAATAACGTCCCACATCTTGGCAATATTATTGGTAGCGTCCTTGTAAGTGAAGCTGCGTTGCATCCCCCGGTATATAAAGTATTTATAGCAATGTTGTAACTAACATACTTTAACCTTTACAAGTCTGCAGATGTATTTGCTCGATTCTGTAGAGCTCGAGGCCTACCAACACTCTATATCTGCGGTACCGACGAATATGGCACGGCCACGGAAACACAAGCCCTCGCAGAAGGTGTAGATCCGGCAACCCTTTGTTCCAAGTACAATGCCATTCACCGCGATATCTACTCCTGGTTCAAGATCGATTTCGACATCTTCGGTCGCACACCAACTCCCCAGCACACTGAGATTGTCCAGGAGATGTTCACGCGACTTTGGGAGAACGGGTTTATTGAGGAGCGAGAGACCGAGCAAGCCTACTGCCCCGCACATTCCTCTTTTCTGGCTGATCGCTTCGTTGAGGGCGAATGCAGTTTGTGTCATGCAGCAGGTGCCCGTGGAGATCAGGTATATTTCGTCGTTCCTTGGTAGACATTTCTATTTTTCTAACACATCTATCAGTGTGACGCCTGTGGAAACCTCTTAGATCCACTGGAACCAACTGAAGATACCAAAGCAGAGTCTGGAGAGGACAGAAAAGCCACTGGTTGGCTATTGAATGCCCGTTGCAAGCTTGATGGCGCAACACCCGAACGACGAAAAACGAAGCACCTCTACCTCCGCTTGGATGCGCTACAGCCGGAGATCAAGTCTTGGCTCGACAATGCTAGTAATAGCCACGAGTGGAGCTCTAACGCCATAGCCATCACCCAGTCGTGGATCCACGACGGACTTAAACCCCGTAGTATTACGAGAGACCTCAAATGGGGTGTACCAGGTATGCTAAGTCCTGCACATAGAAAAAGAATTGAGCTAATCACATATGCCTCGTAGTTCCCACCAACACCCCCGGACTATCAGGGGATGATTATGACAAGAAGGTTTTCTACGTTTGGTTTGATGCCTGCAGTATGATATTGTACGATCTTTGTCGATCCATGTAAAATATGCTAATGCGCGATAGTTGGCTATCCCTCCATCACAAAATGCTACACGGATAGGGATGACCCATCCGGCAAGAACTGGGAACGATGGTGGAAGAACCCAGACAACGTATCGCTTTACCAGTTCATGGGCAAGGATAATGTTCCGTGAGTACTCTCATACTAAAGTAAAATCAGACATTGGCTAATATCTCAAATCAGTTTCCACAGCATTATATTCCCCGGATCTCAGCTTGGCACAAGAGAAAAGTGGACCCAAGTTACTAAGTTGTCAACCACAGAATATCTCAATTATGAGGGAGGAAAATTCAGCAAGTCAAAAAGCGTTGGTGTATTCGGAAACAGCGCGAAAGATACTGGTGTGGCGGTCGACGTATGGCGATACTACTTGCTTTCTCGGCGGCCAGAGACTAGCGATTCTGAGTTCAGTTGGCGGTAAGTCATAAGTCGAGTTTGACACATCTAGTAACTTGTTGACTAATCACCTCTGATTCAGGGAATTCGTTGATGCCAACAATAACGACCTGCTGAAAAATCTTGGTAACTTCTGCAATCGTGTCGTCAAATTCTGTCATGCGAAATTGAACGCTGTGGTGCCCGATTATCGGACCTATAACGATCCTACTGGTTCTTTTCAGCAGCACAAGGAGGAAGTAAATGGTTTACTTCAAACATACATTACCAACCTAAAGGGCACTAAATTACGTGCTGGCCTTTCCACGGTTCTTAGGTACGCCTTCTCAAACTGTTCTGATGAGAATTCAGGAACTAACAAAATTTCTTTAGTATATCTGCTTTAGGAAATAAGCTACTGCAAGACAATAAGCTAAGCAACCAACTTCTGTCCGAAGATCCAGAGCGCTGTGGCGCTGTTGTCGGCCTTGCTCTTAATCACCTGCACCTCATCGCGAACATCGTGTTCCCTTACTTGCCAGAAACCGCAAGCGGCATTCTCGAACAGCTAGGCATCCAAGGTTCTGGAAATGATCGATTTTCTATCCCAGATACTTGGACGGCTGACGTCATCCCGCCTGGCCAGGCACTCGGAGAACCAAAGCTACTTTTCACACTGATCCCTACGGAGAAAGCAGACGAATGGCGTGAGGCTTTTGGTGGTGAAGAGCTTCGAAAGCAAAAGGCCATCGAGCAAGAGAAGGCCGCAGCTAAGAAGGCCGCAAAGGAAAAAGAGAAGGAACGAAAGCGACTTAAGAAATTAGGCCTTGCAGGTGGTGCTAAGGGTGAATCGTCACAAGGACCAGCAGAGCAGTTGCAGAAGCTTAGTATTTCCGACGGCACAGAAAGCCAGCCTGCACAGGAAACACCCAAATAAAGTGGTAGATTTGCTGACCAGCTATTTTTTTCCAGAATGTGATGTCGGCAGGGCGCTGGTATAGAGGTTTCTGCAGAGACACCTTGGGTTTAGCGGTGTAGTTTGTGTCTAGAGAATTGCGGATAGCCTCGCTTGAGCAAAAAAATGCGAATTATTAAGGGTTGAAATGGTTCTCTGATTTCAACTTACCGCCGCTTTTAAGTCAGTTTAAATTATGGATAGAATGTGCTCACTGGTACAGATTCCGTACCGTATAAAAGTGTCTATACTTGGGAAGAGCATTAGTATTTTCACTAAAATACCAACGTCTTTCCCTTTATTCCCTTACTGGCATAATCCAGAATGCTGTGAGGTGGCTTGCTAGGTATAAGCCACTTTCGAATCGATTCGGTTACACGGCATAAACAGAAATTGGACACAGATCGTCGATCTCTAGGACATATCAGTCAAGAACCCAAGTCTCTACCTTTTTCTTCTTCTTATTCTTATAATGAAGAAGCTCCCAAATTTCCCTCAAGTACCTAAGTCATAAATATTAAACACAGGGACATTTTCCAAAATGGCTTCTCAACCATTAACATGCGAAAGATGTTCTAAGATCGACTTTGAACGGCAATTCGCTATAAGTGATGAATTCTGCGCTAGAACATTTTCTCAACAGTACCTACATCAGACATTGAATAAGGAAATCGACCAATATGACGGAATATCCGACGTAACATTTCCTGACGAATTTATCGTAACATTGGAATTGGGCATCAACTTGATTGCATTCTATGAGGAAACAAAATGCATTACATGTAAATTTTTCGATATTCTTGGGGTGCGGGTGGAGAGCCAGTATATCAGGGTTGATCCTAAAGACATGTTCCAATCTGACTACCTCAGTCCTTGGATCCTCTATTGTTCGAAATTACCCCCAACAATTGTCACCTCACGCTATTTTGATAGGGGTTCTATTGCCATAGCCAAGTCACTATGGCACAACCCGATATTTCAGGACTTCCTAGATCCTCAGAGAAATGATATTGCCATATTCCGTGCTCTTCCGGATCATAACCCAAATCATACCGGTATTTGGGGCAGGGTTGTCCCTGAATGGGTCGATTGCTCAATCCCGAAGAGTTGGTTGGATATTTGCAGTTCTAAACATACGCGAATTTGCTATCGACCTAAAGTAAATGGCCGACTAGAAGGTTTCCGACTCATCAACCGCTGCTGTGATCCGATAACCATCGAATCATGCACCCTAGAGGTCGATTACGTTGCTTTGAGCTACGTATGGGCAGCCAGTCCAGAATCATCTAATGCATGGCCAGATGTGGTTTTACATGCAGTGGAGATGACAAAACAGCTAGGCTTCCGATACTTATGGGTAGATCGTTATTGCATCAACCAAGAAAACGAGAAAGAAAGGGCACATCAGATCTCGAATATGCATTTGATATTCCAGCAAGCCGAGGTGACCTTGGTTGCTGCTACTGACGACTTCGATGGTCTCTCAGGGGTACAAGTAGATGGCTCCTTAAACCAGCGCGCGCGGAAAGTACAGAAGCAAGTACAAATAGGAGACATGGCTTTAGCGACGATTCCGCGTCTAAGAGGCGCGATATGCGACTCTAATTGGTATAAACGAGGGTGGACACTTCAAGAAGGCCTATTATCCAGAAGAGTTTTAGTCTTTACCGAGGGTGAGCTCTATTGGAACTGCTGCGGTATGTCTGAAAGAGAGAGCGTTTATATTTCTCCGGAAATCTCTCACCTACCTGATATGTCACAGCAGGGAGGATGGATGCCTGCTGGACTCTTTGACCGTACCAGCAAAGGCACTGCTAGACTTCTACACACATCCGACGCCGATATACCACGCAGCTTGACAACTAGCCCTGAATTTAATGAAAGAATCATCTCCAATATAAATTCGGAAATCTGGAGAGATATTACGGGATACGGGGAGCGTCATCTCACGTACGATACCGACTCTCTAGACGCATTCAAGGGCATCATGCAGATGCACATGACTAGAGCAGGCAACAATATAAAGTTTATTCTAGGTTTACCGATTCCTATAATCCCTAATCTGGATTTAAACTTGGTATTTGGTTTTGTATTGTCTGGTTTGACCGATCAGCGAGACGTATCATATCGTCGCCGTCACCATCTCCCATCTCGGTCATGGGCTGGATGGGAAGGTTTCTTCTATTGGAGCCATGGACACCGTCTCGCCCTTACTCCTACTCCTAGTATCCCTCAGCCTCAATTCTATAGGCTAAATGCGCCAGAATTCAGACTTATTACCAAGGACGGGCAAAATCACGTAGAGTCCACTATAGAAGATATTATATTGGGAAAGATCTCGAGCTTCGACGAATTCGCAACTTTAAGAGTTGTGAAGCCTTACATCATGAGAAATCCGACCCATGTTCCGTTGACAATGAGTATACAATCAAATGAAACACTGATACCGAACGGGAATTCAAAAATGGTTGGGGAGGAAAATATTGCCTTCATTCTAATTTATTACGATGAGCCTTTTTGGACTGCCGGATTTCTAATTTTAGAATTAGTAGATAATGCTCTGGACGGGACGCGGCTATGGGAGAGAAGAGGCAAATTCTGCTTGACTAAACCGTATCTTGAGTATGAGATTATGAATAATTTTTGCGAGCCCGAAGAAATAGACTCCCTAGACGAGCAGGACGAGTTGGATTTGGTGAAGACGTTTGAGGATGTGATTAATTGTATAGGTCTAGTTCGTTCAGATGTGGATTATCTTATCGTGTAGGAATGAGTGGTGTAGAAGTCGGAGAGTTGCTGAAATCTTTTTCTTTCTTATAATACCTAACATTATATCATATGGCAGTTAGGAATAACGTTGAACTAGAATGACCTGAAAGCCTTCATGTATCTATCTTCAGTAACACGATGTTGCCTTTGCTTTAACTAGGTAGTATCGAGCCATGATTTCATGGCAGTTAATTTTCCGAGAATTATAGGCAAAGGACAAATATGCGGGTTGCCTATATAGCTTTTCACTGGCATACACCCGAACGGCTGAGCCCTAGATCTGCTTTCGAGACCTCCCCCTTTCTCCTCGACTAAGCTATGGCGAAAACTACAATTTGTAACCTCATATAACCACGACTGAGGCGCTCTTCTTCCCCACTGGTCTCTCAGCTTCTTTCCTAAACCATTCTCCGGCTTTCGCAAGGCCTTCGCCCATACTAACCCCTGGTTTGTAACCTGGGACCCGATTCGACCTTTCGCCATTGAGAATGCGTGTTATGGTTACTAGGCGAACTACCTCACGGGTAACAATAGGATGCCCCTTACCAGAAGTTCGAAGCCAAGTCGTCCACTCGCCGATGATAGCTATGATTAAGGTAAGCTAGACAGAAATGACTGTGATAATATCCTCTTCCTTGATCGAGATACCGACAGGTACCGCAATACCTAGCACACCGAGATTCCCAGAACTTAGCGGGCTCGTCGTTAGTGACGTCAAAGCTCTTACCATCTACGCACAATGCAGATGGTGGAGGAGGATTTCCATATTGCGCGTACGAGGGCCTCGGCGGCAAGTATTTGGAAATAAACAACGTTGGAAACATAGACGAAGCCGTAGATATTAGCTCTGGGGCTCATTTGGATCTCAGCTTTTCCCTGTCTAGTATTAGCTATAATGTTGCCCATCGTTATAGTGTCGCGCTCTCCGAAGACGGTAGCGGGACGTACTGAGACAGTTAACATGGACGAGTTTCCATTCTCTCGGTTAGAAGCGAGGATCTCCGCTTCAGCTTCAGCTGTGTAGACGCGCTTCTGAGCAGGATGGTTAAGGATTGGAGAGTTCTCGTCGGCGAGATGATCGTGGATAATTGACCATGTGTATGTATTTATAAAAGCCCGTGTTGTCTTGATTTTTCTAGCCGAGGGGAGTAGGTTACGAGCGCCAACTACATTTACTCTTTGGAAGATCAAGGACAAAGGTAAGATAGGACAAAACATAATCTCTTAATACCATATATCTTTTTATTCAATACATGCAATGTCATCCCCCTCCTCCCTACCCCAGGTCGATGGTTACGGGATAGGCCAAGAAAATTTAAGTATTCGATATTTTTCTCGTGGTCTGGTTTAAATCTTGAGGCTCTATGATATTCCACTACTACGGCTAATAGAATCCAGGCATTAGCGGTGCCATTCAGGGGCCGAGGCTCTTTCACTGAGGATAGTAATAGATACTTCATAAACACCCCGAAAAACCCCCCTTTAAAGCTATGGTGTGTTTCTAATGTAGGTATTATACAAGACGTATCCGTGCTTGGTGGCTTGAGGTGTAAGCTCCTTATAGATACGATACATCACCCCTCAAACATAATAATGGGAATGATACCTACCTAAGTTAGGTAACAGGTAACTACCCCTTATTGTGATTTGCCACCCTGCGGCTTTGCGGATTTTTCGTCCGGGAACTTGGCGAATAGATCCCGGAGCTTATCAATCGGCGCCGTCATCAAGCCAACGGCCGTTTCGAATGGAGGCTTATTAGGAATGCTGGGGTGACTCCGCGTCGGCGTGAACATCTTCGTCTTCTCGAACTTTTCGCACAATTCTCGAGAGTGCGCCAGCCAAATTGCCTCCTCCAATTTCACAAGATCATGTTCCTCTTCCTCTTTAAAGTGTTGCTTCAGGTCTTTATAGAGCGCCTCCAGCGTGGGGAGGAAACTTTGGTCTTTGGGCTTCAACTTCTGGAATTCGTAGAGTTGCTCTTTTACCTTCCATGTCTGTTAACGCTCTCTTCCGCGGAATCATGTATAGGTATTGAAAGGGGCTTTCGGTACCTTCTGATGCTCCTCGCGATCCTTATCAGCTATCTGGGCTCCATTGGGGATCACCCTTTCAAAGACCGGGTATACGACGAGCTCTTCTGAGATTGCGTGTCGTGCTAGCTCCCAAATGAAGGCGTTTTGAAATCGTTCCTGCTCGTCGTGGTCTTTGGAGCTGACAATGCGGTTGTAATAATCCTCTAGTTCCCTGTGATCTTGCTGTATAATCTGACTTATTTTGGGTTCTTGGGATTCGGCTTTGATTGCCGGAGAATGGTGTTCTGCGAACGTGCGCTTAAGAACGTGTGGAGGGGCTGGACTATAGATCCTTACCGGGGTCCTCACAAACCGGACGAGACGACTTGGTTGACGAAGCATTCTTAGTACACTAATGAGATTTTTGGAGAGTGATAAATATCATTATTGAATGCCATGATTGCATTGGCCATACTTAATATACCCAACTCATCAAGCTTACGGAGAATAATGACGATTTAGATGACAGCATCTCATCGTCACCTTCGCGTCTTCTAGTTGAGATTGGGGTCTGTCGGAACGGGCCGCCAAACAGACTAGGACATGAGCGACGAATCAGGGCGCATATTTTATTCATCCCAGTAGCGAATTATGTATTACACGAAAACTGACGACCATATTGATTCAAGTATTGCGTAATCTATTCCTTCGAGGTAAAAAGTCAGGCGTTACTAGTTCAATACAATCTATTACTTGGTCTACCTACCCTAGACACTCACTCTGTGTATGACTAACCTTACCGGGCATTGACCCTGACAATAGAGCCCAAGAATTATTTCGTCACTCCTTGACTTTCTTGATCAGAACATCATGGGGGAAGTAGAAGCTGAAAAGGAACGCAATAGAAAAGGATTCTACACGTTCGAATTCGCCTGGGTAAGCCTGAATCACAGACGAGCATCTGAGAGCAGTCGTTGAACTCTCCAAAGATTTCAAGAGTTATCTCAATAAGCTCCACAAAGGAGACGAAGGGAAGCGGGCAGAGCGTAAATATGAGCATTTGGATTCGTATGATAAAAGCTAGTTCCTAACCTAGGAGCTAACTTCCTAGGAGTTAACTTGTTTAGCTTTCATCTATTTTCCCTTAAAAGACCGGATCAAGAAATACTTCAACATATTCTTATTTCATACGCAATCTAGACTCCTCACCCTTCTCCACATAAAAGGGGTATACCCCTGATGTTCTAAGATCTTTAGCGTTTGGTGTGAGTGAAGCTACGGATTTTTGATGCAGCCAGATAATTACATCTGAAGGAGAGAGTAATATAGGAAATAATATTGGTTGGAGTGGTGAAAGTGGTGTGCAAATAGAAGAATGCCTTTCCGTCCAAGCTTTCATGCCATTATACCTTCAACCCCTCGAAGTGGAATCCTTTGTACCCGTTTGCTACGCTGTATCCCAGACTCGCTTTGTAGTTCGGCACGCCTCCCAAGTACATCTGAGATGCTCTTGGCTTCCCGGCGATGCCGTCACCCATGTACCACTATTCATTCAATACGTTAGCGTCTCCGCATTTCGACGTGACAAAGGTCTCTTTGGTATCAACTTACGCCTTTGGCCTTCGGAAGAAGCGAAGTGTTTGTTACGCCTTCCACATGCTCGGTCCAGATCTTCTCGCTTTCTTCATCCGCCACAATGCTGCTGATCCCCGCCTGGCGGAGGCGGTTCATGACGTCGGCGATCCAGTTACCCTGGATCTCGGAACATGTGGGGCCGTTGCAGAAAGCCGACGGAGCCTGAGGTCCGTTCGAGAAAAACATGTTCGGGAATCCGGCGATGCAGATGCCGCAGAATGTGCTAGGCCCTTGTTTCTGGAACTTTTCTTTCACGGTCTGCCCGCCGATCCCGCGGATATCGATGGTCGTCAGGCCTCCTGTGACAGCATCGAAGCCGGTTGCAAGAACTAGGTAATTAAAGTCAGTATCCACCGCAAGGATTCAAATAATGAAATAGATGCATACTAATAACGTCAAACTCGAATTCCTTCTCGGTCGTCCGAATTCCAGTCTCTGTTACTTCAACGACGGGGGTCTGGTTAACGTCGACAAGGTCTACATTCGGCTTGTTGAACATGTCGAAATACCCGTTCTCGAGCGGTACCCGCTTGCACCCAAAAGGATAGGGCTGGTTTGTAGGGGCCAAAAGTTCTTGGTGCCTAGGATCGTTAAGACGAGCTCGCGTCTTCTCGCGCCAGAACTTGTAGGCCTCATGATTGGCCTCGGGAGTAAATAGCATGTCCGCGTAGGTTCCAAGCCAGAAGGTAAAGTCCCCATTCTTCCACAGGGCCTCGTAAGTAGCCTGCCGTGTAGCTTCATCATCGTCAAAAGTTTTCTTCGAGAGGAGCTCGAAATCGAAACCCCAGTAGCGGTCGTGACAGTTATCAAAGAATTCTGCCAATTCCTCTTTAGGCATAGGTTCTTCATCGTCGGCATAGTTTATCTGCCTCATTTGCAATGGCATGGCAGGCGTGCGCTGGAATACCACGAGCTCCCCAGCCACCTCGCTTACGGCGTGAGATAACTGAACGCCGGTAGAGCCTGTGCCGACAACGGCAATCTTCTTGCCCTTTAGATCCGGCTCATCATGCGGCCAGTAGGAAGAGTGAACTATAAGGCCTTTGAATGACTCAATGCCTTTCCATTTAGGAGTCGATCGACTAGCTGCAATTCCGGTGTGCGGCAAAAAGAATGTCGACTTGAAGACGCGACCATCCTTTGCCGTGATAACCCACTTGTATTCCTTCTCATCCCAAATAGCTGAGGTGATGTAGGTATCAAAATAGGTATCTTTTCGAAGGTCCCATTTCTCTGCCACAAATCTGAAATATTCTCGTAGCTGCTTGTGGTCAGGGAATCGCTGCTTCCAGTGCCAATTCTGCCAGAGCTCAGGATCCGAGAACTGGTAGTGGGGCGCATGGCTGTCAACACGGGCACCTGGGTACCTGTTCCAGTACCAGATCCCGCCGTAGTCAGAACCCGACTCTACAAGCTTGACCTTATAACCCTCGTCACGGAGCTTCTTGAGTTGGTATACACCAGAGAAGCCGGCTCCGATGATGAGAGCATCTAGCTCTTCAACGCGGTTTGCTTCGAGTGAGCCCATTTTGCGTCAACTTGAATCTATGGCTCGAGTTAGAGATGTCTACTAAGGTGTTGTGTCCCGGTTGAATCTTACATCTTGGGAGTTAGATAGAGGTGCGAGTCAGAATGTCCAAACCTGAACTTGTCTAAACTTGCAAGATGAAATGGTCTCAGTTCGAAGGTCTGATGGTTCGTTTTGATAATGGTTTTCCTGGACAAAGGATCGGGGATGGCGATTTATATATACCTCTCCAAAAAGAAATGCTCTACTCAGAACGGCAGTCACATAGTAACTAGGTACTCGGATAGTGTTACACAGTAGACAATGCAGGGGGGGTTGGTTGCTGCTTCTACATATTCATTCCTGCACGAATTACATGGAGGCTACTCGTAACAAAGAAGGTGCTACTCCTTAATACCAGGTAGATATATTCCCTCAGTTTCCCTCGGGAAATTAGTGAAAGCCCAGTTTGTTAGTGCTTTCAACAGGTGTAGCTCGAGGTATGTGGACAGACAAGGAAGTCAAAGCGTGGTAAAGGGTCCAGCTTGAATTGTTTCCACGTTAGGTCCCTTAGGTCCCTTAGGAGTCGTTTCTAGCCATGTAGTACGGGTCCCTGTCCCTATTCGCCCTTCTTTATTCCAGCCAATACACTACCAATACACTATACCAAAAGCAGCCCCCAGTCCTGCCGGTGGGGGACACAAAGACGTATACCTTAGTATAATCTTCTCAATACCATAGCGAAGCGGCGAAGATGAGATGCCCGCAGCTTCCCGCATATTATCGTCTAGTTGTTTCATAATACAAACTTTAATTGACTCTTTGTCTCAATCCTTGACCTCTCATAGGTAAGTGCTACTCGAAATTGCCGATACACCGCTTCCATGTTTCAAGCACAGTACTAACTATCCTAGGTTACTTTTTTATCTATGTCATCATATCTTACTATCTGTATGGTCAGGATCCTATGCTTTGACTTCGGCGCTAAACCATGTAGAGATTTTCTTTATATCTAGTTAGGTATCATAGATGTTCCAGTTATTGAGGCAGGTACCTTACAACTGATACCCGTAACTCTAGAATGTCAGTGTGGCGAATGCTCATTACTACCTGTAAATACAGACTTCCAGGATCTCCACAATACATGTACTTGCTTAGGATGAGAGGTCATGGGAATACCTTAAAGTTACGAGCGGGCCATTCATCGGTAGATTCTACAATTACATCAAGTTGTTATTCCCGGCCAAGTATCTTCAATGTTTCTCCCCCAAGCCCGATCAAGCATTATGATTCCACTTCGAAATACAATTAGCGGCACTCTTTTATAATACTTCACGAAATATACCTATATAGGAGATTAAGCTTTGGTTGAAAAGTCTAATGTGGTAATCACTTATAAATGTAAATATAAATTCCGTATTACATCATCCAATTTCTGTTAGATATCATGTAGGACCAACCAAAACCCCAACATACCGATGAACTAATACAATTTCAAATACTCTATCCGCGATACATTTTCAATTTAACATCACACTAAAACCCTCCAGTCTATATAACGGCAACATCCAGCGAGATAAGATGTGTGGCTATTTCCGAAGTTACACAAGTCTCCCGAAAAGACATGTCTCGCATCTCAACGTGGGGTAGGTAATAGTTCCTATGATAGTTTTAATATGGAGTAGCCTCCTTTTCTGCAGGAACGCTGCTCAACTACATATGGTTTAAGTTTACCTATTGCCATGTGTACTCTAACAGATGACTTATTAACGGTTACACCGGAAGGACCATACTCGTTAGGTATTGGAGGGGAAATCTCGTTGAATTTTCGGAAAACCAACATGACCACTAACTTACCTACGTACCTACCTAGTACCGAGATGCATCACGTACGCATACATGACCGATCGCGATCGGAGACTTCCAACCGCATGAGACCCCACCATACCTTAGGTTAGCTATTAAGCTATCGTGTTAAACGGTTGGTGTTGTTCCCGTATTAAGATCACCACATGGTAGTATATCATCCCATTCAGACTATTGAGTTGGCCCTCGCCCGTCAGCGGGTTAGAGGGCCAATGCATCAGCGGATCGTAACGTCTGTCTGTTAGCACATTATGACGCAGTCATACATGACAACAGGTATATAAATCTATGTGATAACTATATCTTCCCGATTATGTAAACTTCTCATCAGCCTTATTCAGCCTTGCGGCGCGTCGAAAAGTGGATAGCCTACAAGAGGTCCTGCATAACTAGTGTATATTAGAGCCAAGCGGACGCACCTCAATTGGTAAGTTTGAACTCCATTGGACGATCGGTGAAGCTCGGGATTCGGTAGGAACTTAATATCTTACTCGATCTACCAACGTTCAATTAGAACCAACAAGTAATCCTTCATACTTCATAGATGTATAATGCTTAGGGAGCAGGCAGGAGCATCGGCGATAAGGAGATGGCTTAATAGAAGGTTACAGAAACCGTACCACTCTCGGTATAATATTCACATCATCTCGCAATCTAATCCACGCTTAACCCATCGCTCGTCACTTGAGCTTCTAGTTTCCGAGGTAGAGATGTAAATATGTATACGCTAGATTGATCATGAGCTCAAATATCACAACCCATCCATCACGGCGGATTAAACCGGTAGGCACAAGTCGGATATCTCGGAATTCGACGCAAGTGATCAAACACCCAGCGTTGCCCACGAAAATATCACTGAACACGGTTCTCAGCAGTTCTATTTTTATTTTATTTTATTTCTTTTTTACTTAATATTCAATAATAGCATTCAATTTTGCTTCAAAATAGAATTTAGTATTAGAATTTGATAAGTGGTTAGCTGACGAGGGCTTAAGACTTTAAACGTCTAGTATAAGCGACGAAGAACTTATGAGTAAAGCTGTTGTTGTTTTAACGTTGATATTCCTTTATGTTACACTAGCGGATTATCTAATACAAATAGTGTAGCCCCGCCACACGTGGCTAGTAATGTACGTACAGATAGAGCGGGCATCTTAGAACCTGCAAGGCTGATTGTTACTAGCCACGCCCACTTGGGGGGAAACTGAGCTTATGCAGCTCCGGCTGGCAACGCGCAGCTCAAGTTGCCTAACGAATGAAGCTCCCTCGTTAAACATCACCAAACACCGCCGAGCTTCATTCCACCCATATTGCCTTTCCAAACTCACACAATTATTATATCTCCGTTTTCTCGCGCGCACATAAATCAACATGGTAAGCTTAATTAATCCAAATTATGCTATTCACAAGCTCACATTTCTCGTAAAATAGACGTCGATAGGAACGGGCTACGATCTAGCTAACTCCATCTTCTCACCCGATGGACGAAACTTCCAGGTCGAGTATGCAGTAAAGGCGGTGGAGAACGGTGGCACGTCAGTCGGTATCCGATGCAAGGATGGAGTGGTCCTAGCAGTCGAGAAAGTCGTCACATCCAAGCTACTGAAGCCCGGCGCAAACAAGAGGATTGCGACGGTCGACAGACATCTAGGAGTTGTATGTTGCCCTGTATTCCCTCCACCTGCTACGATAAATATTACTGACACATGCCCCTTTGGTAGGTCTATTCAGGTATGGTACCTGACGGCCACCACTTCGTCGACCGAGCCCGAGACGAGGCCCGCGCCTGGCGCGAAACCTTTAAGACACCTATTTCCACATCAGATCTAGCAAGTCGTATGGGCGGGTACCTACAAGCCTACACACTCTACCAATCTGTCCGCCCATTCGGCATTACTGCTATCGTAGGCGGCTTCGACTCGGAACTCGAGGCACCTGTCGATGGTGAAGTCGGCTCCGGTCCCTCTGTCGGTGCCGGTGGTAAGGTAGAAGGCAAAAAGCACGGCGGCCCGGGTCTCTACATGATCGAGCCGAGCGGCATGTACTGGGGATACTACGGCGCAGCAACGGGCAAGGGTCGACAAGCCGCCAAGGCGGAACTCGAGAAGCTAAATCTCACCGAGGGCACCCTCGACCTAAAGCAAGCCGTCAAAGAAGCAGCAAGGATCATCTACGTCGCGCAGCAAGACAACAAGGATAAGGAGTTCGAGCTGGAGATGAGCTGGATTAGCGGGATTGATGGCCCAACCAAGGGCCGGCACCAGGACGTCCCTAAGGACCTCCTTGAAGAAGCCGAACGCTTAGCGAAAAAGGCCATCTCGGAGGACGATGAGGAAGAGGAAGAGGAAAAGAGTGATGATAAGATGGAAGAATAAAGTAGCCATCTAACCTTCGGTCAGGGGAAGCGCGACTGTACTTGTACAATTACGTGGCGAAGCGTTCGGGATAGGGCGAGGCTCATAGACTAATTTCTTATAAGAGCCACGATTTCTGATCGACACTCGTATGGCGACGGTTTCATGTCACCTTCTACACTTAAGTAGACCCATTAGAGCTCCCTGACTCTTTATGATGATGAAAATTTTGTTAATATCCAAGGGATTTACACAGACTATTTACCTGAGTGTATATCCTCCCCAACTCTTTTATTGGAAGCGGAAATTGCAGTAATATGTTTTGTTCCCAATCCCAGAAATCCCTTGTAGCTTTCACGGTATCCACAGCTCATCCTGCCAGTGGGGTTGAGGTTATTCGCAAGCAGGTCCAAAATATTTACCAGATGAGAGCTAAGTGTATTCCTCACCACGTATTGTTCACTTCCATAGCAAGTAATCAGCTCAGTATAAACCCAAAATCACGAGTAGAACAAGCACAATTAGCAAGAGACCCCTTTGGATGTTTGATGATGAAATTGCTCTACGCATTAAACTCGGAATTCTACGCAAATGAGGCTGAAAGCCAACGTTTCCATACGCATCGCAATATATCCCCTGATCAGTCATGTCAGGCCATCCTCCCCCAATTCATCCTCTCTCAGGCCTTACTCCTGTCCGATCGGTCTTCGCGGATGGACCTGAGTGAACACCCAGTGGTCCGACGCGGTCTCTCCCTCTCCCAGTCGCTGCCACATGCCCATGAGCGTTATCCTCTCGCCTTGCTTCTCGAGAAGCTCCTTGTTCTCATCCACCCAGTCCTGCACGTTTGCCGGCACCTTGGGCGCGACAGGGACTCTGTACTTGGCCCACTGGTTGAAGTGCGTGGGGAGGATCACGTTCTCGTTGTTGTGCTCGAGGCCGCCGAAGCTGTTGATCCACTGACAGAATCTCGGGTGGCGATGCATGCGATTAGTCCAGTTCTGCATTGCCGCCGGACTCACGTGGTCCACCGCGCCCGGAGTTAGCGGACCGCGGGCAGTCAGCAGGTCCTCCATGAAGGTCAGTAGCTTGCGGTACATGCCTCTTTGATTCTGGACGAAGACCTCATTGAGGCCGGAAGCGTCAAACGGACAATCTCGAGGATTGAACTCGAGCCCTACATCGCTTCGCACACCAAGGCCCCAGGTGTACTTGATGACGATAAGACGCAGGCAGTAGTTGGCAAGCTCATGCATCTCAAGGGTTACGGCTGCATTCCAAAGAGCCTCGATGTCGCTATCGTGGCCAATGGTAGCGTCGCTCGAATCAGAAGGATCCATCAATCTGCCCAAATAGCACCACTGAACGATCTGCTTCCAGATCATAATAGCCCTGCGGCCATTCTCGCCAAAGGGGATCCAGAAGGCACATACAGGCTTTTCGGATCGTTCGATGGCGCCCTTGATGACTGGGGACCAGTAACAGAGCAAGCTGGCGTGGCAGGTAACATGGTGACGGTGGCGTCCCACTGAGTATCCGATCGCGAGCATTTTTTGGCTTCCATTTGCCAAGCTGTTCTTCGTGAGCTTCGTCGACTTGATTACAATCACGGGGCGACGAGATGGTGTTTCACTCACATTGTTGCAACAACCTGCGTGTGCTCGTAAAGCTCGCGATGGACCTCACATTGTCGCTTCAAGCCGTACGAGCAACTCTCACAAGTGCAGTACTTGATGAACTCGGAGCCGGTCGGCATTCCAGACATCTTGACTACCGACGATGGATGATCTCGGCAAGTTGTAGCTGTATGTATGGAACAAATGCAGGTAGTAGGTGTAGAATGGTAAGATGGATTGTTGGGAAGAAGTTTGTCAAAGGAAAAGAAACCTTCGAGGGAAACCTTCGAGGAGAAACGTTGTCGTCGCTCTGATGAATATTCTAGAGGATTGCTTGGCCAGCAGAATGTGAGCAGAAGACAAAACTTCAAGGAAACCACATTCGATAAAACTTGTTCGTGAATGAAGGTTCCAATGAGGGCTCGCAGAAGAAAGTTCCGGTGAGGGCTTGCAGAAGAAGGTAGAAGATGCAAGGAAAATTTGGATGTGCCTCTGTAGGGCTAAATGGACTCTAGGAAGTAGGGCACGGTGAGGAGGGGAATATTTGCGTGAGGATTTTTAAAATTCCCCACGAGATGCCGTGAGTCCTCACCTATCGTGCCCTTTTCGTCTCGTCTCTAGGTTTATGACAAGTTGCTAAAGAAAATATTGTGTGATGTGCGACTGTCGATGGGCTCTAGAAGGCTGCGTAACAAGCGCAACTATCCTTGATGACTTGAAAAGAGACGAAAAGACCTTGTAGGTGCAAACCATAAGACTGACTAGTGCTCTCCTCAACAAAGATACACAGGACGTCTATAAGATACCTAGGTGCTAGATGCGTCCAGGGCAAATATGTCATAGGGTTTCAGATCGAGCCTCTGTCGTTCTAGTTCCCGTCCTATGTTCATGAAGCTATGACCATTTGAATCTTGACTCACAAATAGCGCTTTGGTGAGAGTAGCACACGCTCAACCAGATAGTATGGATTTAAACCAGATACCAATTACATAAACTCGCATTGGTGGACTAAGAAAGGACCTGCATGAATCCCCTTATTTCGCCCACCCAGTGCGGCCCCAACTCCAGCACTTGTATTGTGTTTGTCTGCTATACATACCAGTTGACCATTGTGACCCCCCCTCCCCCCTAAATGACATGAGGCTACGGCGCCCCATGGGGGAACTACATGAGCGACCCATTGGTCGGAAAGGGGCGCGTTCCCCGATGTGGTAATAACTAGTATATCTATCGTGAATCTTGTGCCGGAAGTCGGCAGACAGGGGGGAGGCTATCAAGATCTAATCCTATCCTAAGGGGCGATCTTGTACCTTTCCGCAGGACAAATAAAATCGTCCCATTCATGATTCCTACCTAGCGAAAGGTGTGGAACAAGGGGGCCCAACACTCATGGCGCACATACATATCAGTCAGTCGGCGAAAGGGGGGAGTAGCAAAAGATGCGTAGGAACTTGGATATATGCTCAAGGCAAACGAGGTATTACGTATTCCTCATCTGGAATGGTTGTGCCCGATTCATTCGCACAGCATTGTATTTTTTTCATGGCATGATCTAGAAAGCCTTTTGTAATTGTTGCACTTACCGGTTTGCCCTTTTGGATGAGGGTTGATGGAGTCCCAAGGATAAATCGCTCAGAGGCTAGATACTAGAGTAAGTACCTACATTATGAGTACAAGCAACGCAGTGGAACTACGACGAAGTAAGATCACAAGTGGACTGGGGCTGCAAACTCTAGCTTATTTGAACCAGCTCCGTCTGAAGGTAGCCGTAGGTACTTTTAGAAATACATTAGGTGGCTGGTGATCTGAGGTAGGGAATGAAGTCGATATTAATACCTTAGCAATGGAGAATAAAAATAAAACATACCAACAATATACAGCTTCAGCTGAACCAAAGGATAGATTACAATCCTAAACCAATGCGTAGAGAGTAGATAGTAGGAGTGAATGGCGAAAGAAAAGGAAAAGGGGAAAAAAAGAACTTCTTAACGTGGTGTATCACCCTACTTATGTCTTCCCACGATAAATATACCCTTTAGCATACGCGATAGGAACTTAACTGCACTATTTCAGTGCTCTAACGGTATACTCACTAATTCAAGGCACCAATCCCTAGTGTTGGGATATCCTGTCTTCCTCTTGCTTCATATTGGCGATATTCTTCAAAGTGTAAAGAATGACAAGACTACCTAACCTACCTCCTATGATGTAATTAAATACTTAACTAGGTAGATATAACTAGAGGCTACTTCATATATTGTTAAATATCTACGTAAGATCCATGTTACATACTCAGTCCCCTTCAAGCTATTAGCATTCTAGATGAGACATCTGCAACAAGAGATACTTCCAGTATGTATAGCTAGACACCTATAGTTACCTGCTTAGGGTTGCTTGCGGAACAACAAAGCTTCCCGCGTACTGTTCGCTTCATCTAGCGATAAAAGCTCTATCGGTGGCATGTATAGGTATTATTTAAGAGCCTGCTATACAAAATACTACTTGCTCATATCTTGGATCTATTAACCAACACGTCTACTTCCTCAGCCAACCTAAAATCTGCGTTGGGTTATTTCCCAACTACCCATTTCTTTAGATTTCATAACATCTGTACCTGACTTAATATCACATATGCGTGGAATTGCTTGATTTGCATGTACACGAAATATCTAAGCACCATCAGAGACCATTGCAAAGAAATTCATTAACACTGATATATTTCCCTTTACTTCTTGAACTGCACCCTTCCATATAAAAGGGCACGGATTTTATTCCCTTAAAGAAACCGCGTACTTTTGATACTTGCAATTCCTTTAACAGTATGTACCGGTGTTGTAGCGGCCCCGCTTGGACCCACATCGGCCCCCGCACTCGCGCCGTGCCGGATACGGGTCCAGGCGTACCTACCTAAAACATGCACGTAATTGCCGCTCGAAGCACAGACCATGTATAAGATCGAGACACGGCGGCAATGCCATATTGCCCCTTCTTAAGCTCACTACTTCTTCAACTGCTTTCTCTAACTAAGCTGTTAACACTTGTATCAAGTAAGTCTAGAAGATAACTTAGAAGAGTAAGTTGTATAAAGGTACAACAAAGTAACTATCGAATAACTCAAAGCTCGAAGTACTAGCCCGTCAAAAATACATAGAAGCATGATTGATCCGAAGTTCCTAACAAATTAGGTAGTAAACCAACTTACCACATAATACTTACCATCTGCAGACTTAACTAGCACATAGACAATTCAAATACACTTCTTTTGCATTTTGCAATTTGCACTTCATATTACTAAGTAGCTACACTACATAGCCCTTAGACCAGAGGGTTTAATCCGGGTATCATCCACCACCCCCTCTGGAGCGCAAATAAATCCATGCGTCCACAACAGCAAACCTCTAGGAACCAGGTATCAAAGCAGTAGTAACTAATGTACAAACCGGCAGCAGGTTGGTCAAACTAATGAATCCTGCGCCCACGATGAGTAGGAAGGGTATAATCACGTTGAAAAACACGAGCCCTGACGCCAAATCCCGGTTCCTTCATACCTGGAAAATAACGTGGACCCCCATTGTGGTTTTACACAACTAACCCCTTCCCGGATCCGCAGTCAATCTGGTCTCCTAACGTCTGCGACGCAATGTGCAACCCTGTGCCAAATCCTCCTGCACTTCGCCCAAAGTGCATCTCGTTCATGACGTGGCTTCTTGTTTGGGTTGCGTAAATAGTACGGCTTCATCTGGGGCGAGAGTAATACGGGTCTTCGTGCCAAAAAAGCTCCGGAATGCATAAAAAAAAAACAAGGAAATCGTAGTTGCTGGTAGTGTGGATCGTGATGGACCGCGATCATATCGGACGTAGTACTCCTCATATTGCTGAGGAAGCATCGAAATCGTAGAAATAGTAGTCAGACTCGTAAGGAAATAAGCGTATTCGTGAATAAAGCGCCTCACGAAATGGAAATGCAGAACAGCATATCTCGACGTTAGGACTTAAAAGCCTAAGCTTTGATGTCCGTCGAAAGAATAGGTCGGGTGCCTGGGGCGAAAAAGACCAGACGCCAGACCCTTAAAACCAGACGCCATGCTCTGATAACGCATTACGAAAATTAGTAAGAAAAAAGGCACCGGCCAATGAGCAGATTAGATACCGGATCCAACATAGCTCAGGGCAATGCAACCGTCCGGTATGCTATGCAAATGCCTGTCTAATGCTGAAACGAAAAAATGGGTATAATAAGAAACCAAGTCGACTAAATCAAATACCCCAGTCGGAAATAATGACGCGAAAGAATCGATGAAAGTGGTGCGACGAAGTGGTGCGACGGCTAGTAGTGTCAATAGGAAAGAGACAATAGTCTCGGGTTGCTCTGGCCTGAAAAAAGCCTGTGGGTATTTAAAAGGATGCCATGCGACGAGCAGGCGATCGGTTGTTGCCAAGGATAGGTGAGTTGCCGATCATCATGACAGGCGAAGGGTGCTCATAACGTCTTTCAGGGGCAGTAGGAGATGCTTGAACCATTGACTCTCGATGCCCAAAAGCAAAGGTCTTGGCTCTACCCAGACCTTTTCGCTTCTGTTGCAACTTGCCCAATTCGCGCTCACAAGTTCTAGCATGCTCCTCAGCGCCCATTTCGACGTAGGCTTGCGGATAGCATCGTTCTCGATTCTCAATGAAGAACTCGCTATATCCGCCATCGAGGATATACACTTCTGGGTACGTAAGTCTCGGATAGTACTCGGCGTTGACCATGCGGTCCGATGCCCGAATGTGGCGGGCCATCATTGGTGCACGGCAAGCAGAATATTCGCAGTGGAAAATCAACAGTGTCTTCCCATCCATAGGGTTCTCGAAGAGGTGCTTCGCAAGGAGTTCCTTGTCATTGTAGTTGACAGCCGCATCAATATGACCCCCTTCATACTCATATTCGAATCGACAGTCGATTACCATCTTCTGGGTGTAAATATCGTTGAATTTTCCATCTAATACATCAAGGAAAGTTTCTCTCGAAATTCTCGGGATGCTATCGTTCTCGCCATCAGGATAGAAATGAGGTAGAATCGGGTCTTGAGATTCCTCGACGTCCATTACAGATTGCAACGTGGTCAGGGAAGCGGGTTCTTCTGAGCTAGCCTTGACAACGTCGTCT